AGAACAGACTGCGTGACATAAACAAACAACAAATAGAGTGTTCCATTTCCACTCTACAGCGAGAAGCTCGCGGGGCTTTCCCCAACCTGTGTCGAGAGCTGGAGTTCAATGGAATCTCACATTCTTAATAGTTTGTTTGGGTCCCTCACTTCCGTTTCGCTTCCCTTTGGCCGACTGCCCACCGATTCAACATGTAGAATCGGTGGGTTTTCGGCCGAAAAGGTGTGGGCACGGATGAAAATACACAACGGTGCGAGACACACCAATCTGAGTAGAACCATCGACGGCCAAAATCCCCTTGGTGCGTAACACAAGCTAGCAGCATAACATTAGATATGGAAATCACTTTCTGCTGGTTGGGCCAGATTGTAATATCTCAATAACTCATTGTCATTGCATTGACATGACTTTTTGTGCAGAGCTCTCTGATAGGACATTTCCATCAGCTCGGAAATGTAAAATGGCACAACATTGGTTTGGTTCTGATAATATTAAGAATATCCTTTCGGTTTCTTAATTGTTGCTTCTCAATCTAAATGATTTGAAGAATAATGGGTTATTCAAAAAAGTAAAAACTCTTGCCACACTGAGTGCCTCCTAAACTTGTGCCTTTGTCTGAATGTGCATGCAGAGTTAACATCCAAAAAAAACATTGGTTTGATACTTCCTCTCAGTGATCGTCACTGTGTTGACGCTCTGATACCTCGGCACTCTTCTTACTAAGATGTACAGTTGTTCCTCAGGGGTGCATCTGCCCTTTAAAACCCTGTCACACAGCGATCCCTCTGCCTCCAGGATCCAGCGGACGATAAAAAAAACGCACCGTAGAAAGATGCTAGGGACGGTGCTCTGAGGTGTCAGGAGGTCTCTGAGGTGCCATCATGCTTTGATCACACTCGAGCTGTGAGAGGAACCTCGCTGTGACCTCAGAGCGTCCAGCCAGGATACACAGACACAGCTGTTGTCCTCTCATTTCCCAAAAGAGACGCCACCTTCTCTCGATGACATTAAAGATGCTATCCACGCAGGAAGCATCCTCCAGCCTCCAGCCTCCTTCCCCTGAGCAGTTGATTAGTACCTAAGAACTGCAGCTACTGACAGCGGGGAAAAGTAACTAAATAGATTTACTCAAGTACTGTTCTTAAATAAAATGTACTTTACTTGAGGATTTTGATTATTTGCTACTGTGCACTTCTACCCCACTACAATTCAGAGGTAAATGGTGTACATGTCTTCCTCGCTGTCCTCCTCAGTGTCTCCCTCACTGTCCTGTTCCTGTATTTATGCTTCTTGCATGGTAGATGATGAAGGTCCTGCAGATGCACCTCCCTTTCCCCGTTTAAGCCTCCAATTTGCTTTCTCCAAAACTTGTTGCCAAAACTTTGAAGTCCTTGCATTTCCTGAGGCCAAGTTGAAGGATCAAATACGAAGAAATTATCACATGACTTGCAGTCATATCTGATTTCAGATGTGGGAAGTAACTAAGTACACTTATTCAAGTACTGTACTCAAAGGTGGGGTATGTCATTTTGGAGAAACCAGCTCGAGTGCGCGAGAATTTTAGAGTACGCAGCGGAAAAAAATCTGCCTCTTCCTTCAGACTTCCTTACAGAGCCCCTCCTCCAACACACACGAACGGGCACATGACCAATGAGGGCACGAGATAAGTTTGTGCACAGATGGAAGGCTGACAGGCAGGTAGGCCATCCAGTTGTTTTAGCCGGGCCGGCTCAGATGATTGGTCGTGCTTTTTACAGTACCACGGCTTCCACTGATGATATTTTTTAATGTATTTATTGTCAAAGCATTTAATGTATTCATTGCTATCGGGATGTTAAGAGCATTCCATGGAATATAACAAAAAATGTTTCTGAAGTGAATTACCTACCCCACCTTTAAGTAACATTTTGAGATACTTTTTTGCTACTTTGTACTTCTCCTCCACTACATGTATTTAATACCTTTAGTTACTTTACAAATGTGGATGAATGATGTGAAATATAATCAAGTGTTGAATCAGACTTTAGTTCCACCTGGAGTAAATCCACAAGCTACCCTGCAGTATACAAAGTCATTCAAACTAGCTGCACCTTTACCAGCTTTGAGAACACTTTCATGATCAATCATTATAAAATATATCATATGTTATTCTGAAATGGACCAATCTGCACAATGACTACTTTTACTGTCGCTACTTTAACTATATTTTGATGATCATACTTTTCTACTTTTCCTTGAGTAACATTATGAATTCCTACACAAGAGCTGAATACTTCTTCCACCTCTGTCTGATTTCAAACTCTTCCATTAACACCCTAAGTTTGCACCTGTGTGTTTTGCTCCACCTTGTTGTAAATAAAACTGCAGCAGCTTGACCACAGCGCGCGAACGTTGTGATCAGCTGATTTGGCGCAGTTCTCCAGTGTGTGCACGGGGCACAGAGTGTGCACAGGGGAGTCTCCCTCAGTAGCCATTTGACATAGTTTTGGTACAATTCTGTTGTTCATACCAGGGTATATGCAGGAATCCTGAGGTCAAATTTAATACCTTTTAAGACCTTTTTTAAGACCCTTTCCATACATTTTAAGACCTCATCGCAACTTTGAGTTCTAACCGCTTACATTGGCTACACACTTTACCTCAGATTTACTATATTCGATCCTCGGTAAGACGTAGCAGCAACTAAACAGAGTGGCAGACAGACTACTGAAGCCTCCTCTCCACATGACACGTTCACGCTCCTCTAGTGAAGGTCAGTTTAA